TTTTTTTTTGTCAGCCTAGACGCTCACCTGCGCTTGCCTTCTGACATGCAGCAGCCCGGATCCCAGACACGGCGCGGGCGTACCTGTACCACGTTGCATGAACTGGTGGAGAACGACGACGATCCTTGTGCGAGCCTGTGCTGCTCCGTTGGCAGAAGGTGAGGGGGGAGGAGTGTCTCGGCATGCGGAAAAGTGCTGGGCGCCCTTCCACCCCGAGACGAGGTAGTCGAAAGCAACCGAGCGCACCAGTTCGCCACTGCTGCGCTGGCGATGCTGCTCCCCTTTGCCTGGGATTGCCTGGGATCGCCTTCACGGGGAGCTAGGCCGTCTCTGTGGACGGGGCTGCCGGAATGGCACGCACCGCTGCCCTCCAAAGCCTCTCTTGTGCCATGTGCTTCGTGCCCGCAGGCAGATTTGAAAAGGGGCGCAACCACTCTAGGCTAGATCAGCTGTCTGGTCGTCCCTAGGACTCAAGAAGTTGTCGGAATACCCGGACAGACGACACACACACACACGCCCCCTTTTTGATGACCTGTCAGGCGCTCCCCATGGGTCTTCCCATCAGGGCCACCGTGGCCCACAGCCATCAGAGGAAGGGTTCCTATCATCCGCCGGGCGATGAGCACTTGAGCGCGGACCACGTCGAGGGTCGAGACCCCGGGCTCCTTAACGTGGTCGGTTTTCTGTGGGCTATCTCGTGCCGTCGTGGAATCCTAGGTGGGTCCCCTTTGTGCTCTGTTTGCTTCAAGTGTTGACCGTTGACGGTGCGGCCTCCTTGGGCTTTGCTGCGGCCGCAGGGGCAGTTTGGTAGCTCCCCTCCTCTCTCCGGCAGAGTTTGTGTCTGCTCCCGTGCCCCCTTTGGGTGGAAAACGGTTTCCTGGAATATCTGGGCAGAGAGGGAAACCTATACCCGATGTGGGATGGCTTAGCGAATCTTCACAACCATCGTCCTTCCCCGGCATTGCCAGGAGACGCCTCCTCCACACTCGTGTCTGGTCTCGGGAGAGCAGGGGATAAGATATACTGAGTGAGAAAGACATGCCGCCATGGGGAGTGGAGTTTGTGCCCTGAAATGTCGGGACCATTTGGCAAGGATGGCCCGGCAAAACCCCAGACTTGGGCGTCGTTGAACACAACATGGTGATGTTGCCACACACACACAAGGTTCTTCTGCCCGAAGAGGCAGCCCCCCTGGACCCCTAACCCGGACGGGGGATGCGGAACACACTTCACTGGCCTGGGGATATCGATGATGACTCAGTATAGGCTTCTGGGGCACAAATGACCGTCTCTTGATGTTTCTTCTCTCTCTTGCTCCGTGTGTGTGTGTGTGTGTGTGTGTGTGTGTGGTGTAAGTGGAGCATCCATGACGTCCTGTCTGCCGTCTCGTTCTCGTGACTGTCGTAGAAGTCATCATTCCGCGCCTTCCGCGCCACTCCTACCTGCCAGCTACGCCCCTAGGTAGCTACGTAGCTACCTGGGCACATGGTGCGGGCAAAGGAAAAGCGTCAGGCTTGGTTGGAGAGGACCAGGTTGATTGGGGGAGGCTCGGGGCGAGCCCGAGAACCAAACCGACATGATGGCGCTTTGGGCTGTCGTGATCTGCTCACCCCTCCAATCGTATGTCGGGTTCACGATATTGCCCAGCCCCTTATCTCTCCCCTGCCCAATCGCCCCCCAGGCCTCCGCTATCCCCATCTCCCATCTCCATTCCCATGCATGAGACAGGGCGGGCCAGGGGAAGCAGGGCACCGCCGTATGTGTCTCGTGCAAGCGCGATTTCCCTCTCTCTCTCTCTCTCTCCCGTTGGTCTGCCGGGTAATCGAGCGTGCCCACCTCCTTTCCTCCCTTCTCGGGAAAAAGGGGGTGTAGTGGGATCGTGCATCGTGGCGTGTCCTTGGTTGAGATGTGACTTCCAACGACGGAGCTGGGCGAACTTCCGGACTGGGCATACGTGGTTCTCGCAGATCGGAGAGGGAGGGAGGGGGGCGCGAATGGGGTGCGGGAGCCGTTGAGTAGATGGATATCGGCGCGTGATGCGCTTGTTGACGATGTTGACCTACCGGTTGGCGTGGGTATCTATTTAGAAGAGAAGATACTGGCTTGCATGTGCGGATAGAACGCCGGCCAGACTGAGAGTGTATTCTATTTTCTCTCTTTTCTTTCCCTTTACATACCTTTTATTCCCCCAATTCTTTTATTCCTCCTATTCTCTCATAGTAGCGTTGGTCTCGCTTACATATTGGATGTCGAACAGCGAGGAAACCAGGCCAGCTCTCTGAGATGTACACAGTTAATCAAAGAAGAGCATAATGATGCCCGACACTTACCGGTCTCCGCCTATTCCGTCGAGCTGCGTCTCGTCAACAGTCAGCGAATGCCCGCCGTCCATGCGCGGCATGCGTGTCAGAGCCCAACAGGAGGGTTGTGGAAAATCCCGCGATTCTCCTCTGCCAAACTCGAGGCGCCAAGAAACGAGAAAAAAAAAGGAGCGTGGCAGCTGCTGCTGGCGAATCCCAGGCAAGGAACTTGACCATGGGCAAGCAGTAAAAGTACAGAATGTCCCTCTCGAAGTATGTGTCGGTACCACTTGTACCAGCGCGGGGTCTTTTTTTCTCCTTCCCTTCTGGGTGAGCAGAGGGCCTCGGTCCCTAGGGTGCTAGGCAGGCTCCGTTCTCCCTCACAGGGGCGAGCTCCCGGCGGCAGGCAGGCTGTGGAAGGTAGTAGGATGGTAGCAGCAGGCCCGAGCAGCACCCACCCATAGCACACTCGCTGAGGGATTGGATGGGCGGGCTGGTAGGGAGGTTCATGTGCGGGTGACGGGCGCGGCCGTGGTTTCCGAACGAAGAACAGTACGGCTGCTGCTGGGCTAGTCTCCATCTCGCCACATGTCTGCCCCTGGCGTCTACCGGGTATGGCGGTCTCGTTGGGATCGCAGTTGAGCTCGCAGTTGAGCTCGAGAATACTAGACTGGGCTTGGTGCCAGGAGCTAGCTGAGAGATGGGATTGCACGGTATAGTATAGCATGAGGATATAGCGAGCCATTTCCTAAGGAGCTAGGTGCCCATTGAGGCAGGCTGCTAGGTAGCTAGCTATAGAGGCACCGCGACGCAGCACCTGGATAAAGGGGGCTGCGGTCGAAAGATGGGCAATGGTCTGGCCACTGGGTGCCGAATTCGGCGCACTCATGCTGTGATTTGGGCAGTCCCAAGAACTCGCTCTCGTCAGTTTTCACAATCTTCCCCGCTCCCAAGGACCTTGTCGATACGTTTATGTCCTGCCACCCTGCGCGTTAGAATTACGTAGGTGTTGGGCAATGCAGGCCTCGTGCCATTCTGCTGGCGCATCAAGAGCAACCCACACACACACACACGTGCCCTACACACCCTCTCAATCGCCAGGGAACCAACCAGCCCAAGTGCTGTAGCAGACGGGCGCACTTCGGATACCAGACCGCGCCGCTTTCCTTTTTGGTCGACGAGGTCCCGGCCGGTGTGGCGTGGGCAGGCAAAGCAAAGCGCAAGCTGCGCCGCGTGGCATCCCGGTTTGCCACTTTTGCTTTGCTTTTTTTTTCTTGTCTTCCTAGATGTGGAAGCTAATTGGACGACCAAACTTATGGACAGCAATGCCGCGGCTTTTTTTGCACTTGTTTTTTTTTTGGGCTTCGCATCCGGGCCGGCGTCCAAGGAAGCCAATGATTAAAAATGCCAAGTTCTGCACGATAAGAGAGAGAATAACTCGGGGCATGTGTTTGCATGTCGGTAAGGATAAGGCAACTATCTAGGCAGGTAGTGTTGTGCCTAGCAAAACGTCGGTCAAAACAATATGCGTCGGCCTTGTTGAAATTTATCCCTTGCATCAAGAGGTAGACGGCTGGGTCAGCCAAGCTGTGCCAGAAGCGAGCGCTGGAGATCTGGGCATGAATGCAAGGGCGACCAAGGCCTGAGAAGGAAGCAATCGACTCCTTGGGTACCACGGTACCTAGGTACCTAGGCACCTACCCAAGCGGACTCCCTTGCAGCAAAGCCGAGCGCACGATGGGTAGTATGCTAGGCGCACACCCTGTCCAGATGGGGCTTCCGCAGCACCCATTTCCTGGTTTCCAGTCGTCCGGTGGCTTGGATGTGGCCGCGCAACTATCGATTCTTTTGCTCCCCGAGAACAGCTCGGCTTTGGGTGTGTGGCCGCCGAGCACACCACCACGGTGGACGCATTATTGATACTGTACCCAGCCCACATAGCTTGAACCACAACAGCACACACACACATACACACACACACACACACACACACATCGCCCCGCCCGCCCCTTGGAGCTTAGTTTTGTTTCTGATCGTCTGCGGGATCCACTTTCAAGCCCGGAGAGCCTCTTCTGTCCTTCCCCCCTTCAACAAGCACCCCCAGAAAATTGCCTGCCGGGAACAGACAGCCATCTTTTGCCTCCTGCAGCCGGCTGAAGTGGTAGGTTTCTACCTTTCACTAAACCACCGATCCAACAATCTCGCAAATCCCGTGTTTCGTTTACGAGCTGGAGGTGTGGTATTTCATCAAGCAACGACGCCACGAATCGGGTTCATCTGGCTCCGTCAGCCTCACTTGTTTCCCTTGCCATTACGAGTTCTTGTTGGAAGAATTTCGTCGGGCTTCGGAAAGCATGTGTGCGTGTCGCTGCAGGCCGGGCAGCTTCGACATAGATGAAAGCACGGGGTCCGGCAGGCAGGGCGCCCTCGTAGTCGTCATATCTTTTGTCCAGCGGCTGCCGTCCATTATCGGCCCCGATATCTCAAATTCTGAAACAACCCATTTCCTCGCCCCCTTTTTTGACAGGTAGGTCTTGTGCCGGTGACGCTGGTGATCTGTCACATAGCACAAAGATCTGGGAATCTCTCTCGCTCTCTGCTTGCACCTTCGTGGCCTCTCGCGCCGCCCTCCTCCGGTGCGGGGGGGAGCATGCGAACGAACTGGGGTGGCATAATCCAGAGACGCCTTTGGATGAGGAAATGGGCGGGCGGGGGATGGAGGGGGCGTGTGATCTCTGCTACGGTGAGCTACCTGCCGAACGCCTAGTTTCTGCCCACCTATCCAGGCAGGTACCGCCCATGTAGGTGAGCCCGGTGGCTTGTTTGTCTATCTGCTCCGGCTTGCTTAGCTGATACCAATCCTACTCCCTCTACTCTCCCATCCACAGCCAGCCACCCCCCAGCGCGGAGGCGGATGGCGATCATGATGTGCATCTCAGGGTATACACGTCGAGCCAGCAGGAACATCGGTGCTCCCCTTCAGTCCTACCGCACTCTCCAACCATCTTTCCGCTTGCTATTTAGGCCCGTCACAGCATGACATCAGACAGTTCGTAGCAGATATTCCTTGGATGCCATGTTTACCGTGAACCCGCCGGCATTCCCATCGAGAGTGCGAGGTGGCCAAGGAAACGGGCATTTGCCTCTCTCGCTCTCGGTCGCCATCAGACCCCCTTTTACCGCTTTCCTTCCGATTCACAGCCCGTATAGACAGAGCCAATCAAGACGCGACACTCGGCCCTCTAGGAGGTGACTTGCGGGAGAGGCCGGAGGAAGAACAAGCAGGCAAAATGAATAGGTGTCGCGGCACAGTGAAAACTCGCAGAAACTCCTCAAAAGGTCAGATCATGGGGCCAGCGAGACCTTCCTAGCCCCAGAGACCAGGTTTGTCTCTCAGTCGGCCTCGCAACTTGTTGCTGTATTGCGAGTGGCGGCTGACTGCGTGATATACCAACCAGCCCGTTTCCAGACACCGAGTTCACAAATCGGCCCTCCTCCAATACACCCCCATCTCCCGGCCCTCAATTTCTCCTGCTCTCGATAGCGCCGTTTCTCATAGATGTCGGGACCGAAGAAAGACTGCCAATCGATCGACTCGGGCTTAAGCAGCGGCCAGCACATCCTCCCCCCTGAACCAGTCCCGGCAGTCTTCTTTCCTTCCTCTTCTTTTTTTTTCTCGTGTTCACACCGTGCACACGCCATGCGCCAAAAGGAGGCCGGCCGATGATGGGGTGGGGAATTGCGGGCGGCCGCCGCTGGGAAAGTGAGAGAGTGAGAGAGAGAGAGAGAGAGAGAGGGCAGCTCTGGGGGCAGGCAAGGCAACTTGCATTCAGTGTCGGTGCAAGTTCCCGTGGCCCTTGGCGACACCCGCGTGGTCCCCAAACGACGGCCAGGGAGGAAAACGACTGGACGGTCCAGGGAAGCCCACCCTGGTAGGCAGCGCGCCGCCGCCGCCGCCGCCGCCACCGCTGGCATTTCCCTTCCCCTCTTCACGTTTTCTTCCTCTTCAAACTTATGTTTCAGACGGTCAAGAATCCCTTTCGGCCGTTGCGATCTTCCTCTTATCCACCCACCCCCCCTTTCCTCACAGGCCCAGCTAAACAAAAAAGAGGCACTACTACATGTGACGCGATGCTAGTGTGTATTGGTTTGACTGCACTGTGGTGTCTTCGGGAGCTAGTCCTTGCCAGTAAATGCAGGGAGGGCGTATGTTGAGCTCAAGTGGTCTGATCTCCTGCCTCTTGTGCTCATGTCGAATAAAAGCCACGTCCGCCGCCGTCGACGCCAAGACAGCCGGCTGCCGCTAGACCAGCGTGTGAATACAGCATGCCGCCGACACCACAGGGCCCGAAGCCCATAGGCCGGGCCCTGTCAGTGGGGGCGCGCGCGGGAAACGGTCGGCCATCCATGCTCAGGGCGCGCGGACGAGGACAGGGGTCTATCCCGCGCCTGCTGTATACAGGCGGGCAAGGGCCGATGGATGGCGATGGAGATGTATCGGCTTTGTGGTCGTGGATCTCCGTTGGCTCTCCTTGAGTTTCTGTATTATCTAGTCCGCCCCTTAATTCCATGCTTAATTTTCCAGGACCCAGGGCGAGACGGAGAACGTGGTGTCTGTCGACAGGCCGGCCCTGCTTCTCGGCGGCCTGCTTGCGTGCATAGGTACTTTATTTATCTCTCTAGCTAGACTCTCTCCAGGATTATTTCGTCAACTGTCTTTCGTAGAATCAATGTTGGCCCCAGCAGAGCGTGGCGATGGCGTCGATTGGGGTAAAAGGGGCCGACAGAGGCGGGGTCCATTTTGACTAATGTACTCTAAAGCAAGCCTCGGAAGCAGAAGATAGTTGAGTACACCCGAGGAGAGCCCGATAAACACATATGAGAGTATGGAAATAAGTTTTTTGACAGGCTCGGAGGAACGTAAACTTTCAACTGCCAAATATGACGGAATCCATCAGATCCAACGCTCGCTGCATGTGCCACGTTTTCAAGCAGCTTAAACAGCCAAACTCGCATCCCTAACGACTCCTCATCCTCGCGTGGCGCCGGGCGGTCTGCCCGGGACCAGGGCCCAGACACGGCGGCTGGGCACTGGAGGGGCGGCTCCGGCAGGATGCTGACGACGACGGACGCAGAGCAGAGCAGGACCAAGAAAGCCGGGACGGGCCTCGCCCCCCCAGGAGTCCGCTTGGCACTTCTCCTGTCGACGGCCTCGCCCTGGGTTGCCTCCCTCGGAGGATCGAAAGGGAGGCTCAAGAGTGCCCGTGGGGCGTGTAGGTTTGCGTGTCTGTGCTGGACGGGGGCGAAAAAGGGAGAAGAAAAAAAAAAAACTCCTGGCGTGTCTTCACCTGCCATGGGGCGTGGTGGGAAAAAAGGACAGCGCGGCCAAGCTAGCGGCAAGGGCTCATAAGGCCGAAACCTAAAATAACATCGTATTGATGAACCGACACCGGGAGCTTCCAGAACCGCCACCCCTCCCGGCCGAGCACACCGGTCAGCGAATCGGGGCCATCTGGTTGGCCCTACGCGCCCGCCAGGAAGCGAGCTACGGCACCACGGCTGCCCAAGAAAATGGAAAATGACTGGAGGAGAGGCTGGGAGGTGCAGCCTCGCTGTACAGTGCCTGGGAGAGGCAAGCAAACGGTGGCGGCGGCGCTGATGGAGTGTTTGCCCAGATTAAGAACGGCGCGCTATGGGCCAAGGTTTTTTCTTCCTCTTCTGTCTGTCTGCTGTTCGGCCGAGAAGAAAGCAGTCGAGGCAAACATGTTGCGTGAATGAGCTGTATCAACAAGTGCCGACCCCAGGTAGGCTCACCCGATGCAAGTCATTCGCGGGATCAGCCACGCGCCCCCCTGACTATCCATTCATCCTCCAAACCTGGCTTGCTGTGCGCCGTGAGAAATCCAATGTTACACACAAGACTAATCACTCTAGATATTCTCCCTGCATACCTTGCACCGGTCTACCTGTCAAAATTGAATGGCGGGGGTCCTTAGGCCCAGAAGCGAGAGACCATTTCGAGCACCAAAAGGGGGCCAACAGGCAAAAATAACCGTAGAATTACGACCAGAACACAACAAGAGGAGGAAGGAAGAAAGACGGAGAAAAATAAGGGGGTGGGCAAAGCACCCAAGTGCCCGTCACGCCATCAACAGCTACGCAGGAGAGAGGCCAAGCGAAGGAAAGGAAAAGAAGAAAAACAAAGAGCAAAAATAAAATAAAAAAAAAGAGAGAGGAGAACAAAGAAGGACAGACGAGGGCAATGAAAGAAGGCGACGGCCGGCAGGCAGACTGACGGATTTGCCCCCTTGTGTATTGGTCGAGCTGCAGCTATCCGTTGGGTCATTGCGCAGGCCCACCTTCGGAACATGCGAATCAGATCAATTCTCAGTATTATGCCGCGGTGGGTGGGGCGAGTTCTGGGCTGGTATGGTATACCCCCCTGGTCCATCGACAATCATTCATCTTCTTTTTCCTTCTGTCTCCTTTCTCTGCAGTATCCCATCCCGCCCAAGGTCTGGGGATGGCTGCATGCTACCAAGGCACTTGGCCCTCTTTTTTCCTATTTGCTTTCTCGGATAGCGGCATGGTCTGCTGCTGCATGGAAAACAGAAAACTCCTTGTCGGGTTTCGAAAAGAAAACAAGGGGCTCTCGATGAATCGCTAATCGCTCGATGCCGGTCTGGGTGCCAGTCTGGGTGCCGGTGGACAGAGTCCTTTGTTCTTTGAGCACAAGGACTTTTTGTCGTCCTGCTCGATGCTTGCTATTCCTCATGGTAATCGCTAGATCCTTTTTTTAATCACCTTCCTTTAGCAGATATATCTTTCGCTAAACCCCTTCTGGCGTCTACAACTCGGGGGTGTGTGAATAGCCAGACTGCGGGGATCGGCTCGACATGAAAAATCGGCCAGACATCGACACGCACTCTCGGCTCTCCCCCCTGCCATTGGCCAGTCCAAGTCCAGCCTGCTGCCGGGATCTGCGAGTGGATGCCTACCGCCGCGCTGGAGATGGTTTTGCGGCGCGCTCAGGGATCTCGTACCTACAACGTACCTCGCATGCCCGTCCGATACGGTCCTGGAGCGCGGAGGGCGGAATTGCAGGTAAGATGTGAGCTGGGGGGAACGCGAAACAGGTGGCAGAGAGCCCGCTCAAGGGAGGATGTTGTGTCTACTGCGGAAAACATGGGACGGGAAATGCAGGGCGAGAGTAACCAGTGGTTCGCCGGTGCAGAGCACACACACACACACACACCACACGCGCGCGTGGGAGTAGCCTTGGGACGGTCGAGCCCGGTCGATTTCCAGCAAAGGATGGGGGAGGAAAACGCCTCGTTCGTTGGGCTAAGTGTTTGTCGTAGGGTGTTTTGTGCGCCGTACACATAGCAGACGAGACGAACAAAACCATTCGACAGAACACAAGCAAATACAAATAATCGGGGCCGAGCATTGACTGCCATGTTTCCCTCCATGGAGAGAGAGGGCGGCTGCAGCAAGTCCCTGCGCCTTGATTATAGCATCGGATAGATACTTTGGAAGCACACCAAGAATCACGCGGAAGGGAAAAGTAGCAACCGAGTGAGGCTCGTGGGTCCCCTAGCTTATCGAGGCCCTGGGAGTAAGGCGTGGGGACAATGCAGATGAGAATAGCAGACTAGCCCAGACTCCCTTTATGTGACCGTTGTCCGCCTGCCACCTTACTGTGCTTGACCGAGCAGGGCCGGATCGATGGACTACTAGCGAGGTACCAACACACTTCAACTCCCACTCCTAGCCCCCCCGGAGCGTGGCTATCACGGAGACCAGCGATGCAGGCTAGCAGTAGACTGCCGGGCTGGCCTCCTCCACTCATCACCCTCAAGCCGCCGCGGCCCGAAGACGTAGCGTAGACGTATCCCTTCATCTCGTGGCCTCCTGCCTGCCTACATGACCTCCGCCGTGGCAGGCAGGTAGCCAGCGGGCCCCATATCCTATCAGACGCGCATCTGATATTCGCCTCGGAAACTTGCACGCTTCCTGGCCAGTGCGGCTGGTAGTCCTCTGGTGGTGGTTCTCTGGCGGTGTCAAAGGTGCCGCTGGGCGAGGAGGTATCGGGCTTGTACAGGAGACGTCTGCCCGTCGACGCAGCAAATACCTATTACCTCTACCTATACAGCCCGCCGGGCAGAGCTGGGCCTTGCCGTCCGTGTACGGCCAGAGGCGGGGGGCTACTGACCGAGGAGAAGGGTGAGATGTATGGCTGAGGAAAAGCACCCCCTCCCCCCATCTGGACCCCCAAGCACCGGCGCACTGCTGCTCCCTCCTCCACTTTTCCCATCTCCCGGCCATTTGTATTACTGTTCTTGCCCTGGGCCATCTGGGGAGGGGCCCTCTTTTTGTTTCGTCTGCCGGTTGGCGCCAGGCTGTCTTAGGTCGTTGATTCCGCACGACCCAGGCGTCTCCAGCTTAAAGAGGCCGGGCAGTCGCACTTCTCCCTCGCTCCTTCCCTCTCGCGGCAAGAACTCCCCCTGTCGTCACCACCTTTGCTCCTTCCGTCAGTTTCTGTTCTTCTTTCCATCCCAGACTTCAATTTGCGCAAGAAGCTCCGCAGCAGCGCAAAAGTTGGGTCTCCAAAAACCCGCCCCGTTCTCGCGACGCCACCCTGCTGAGTCTTTTTTTTTTTTTTGCACTTCCCGTTCCTGCAAAAGACGCCGCCAGCCGGTCGCCTCTCACACAAGAGGCCGAAGGCTCCTATCCGGCACCTTGGTGCTACCGTGCTCAGCTCCTGGCCAAGGTTGAGCCTCCAATACCACCAGGCCACACACACACACGCACGCACACCCACACCCACCCACCACCGCCCTGGGTGCCTCCACCTGGGTGCCTCCACCTCCATCCCTACCACTGCCGCTGGCTGCTACCAAACACACACCTACGAGGGCGAGCACACGCGCGCGCAAATGCTAGCTTCTTAACTCCCACACCTTTCCCAGCCTGCCTACCATTCTTCCACTCCCGCGTCTGCACTAGCGAACCCCTGGATCGAACCTGCTGCGTACACACACACACCCCCTCGTATTTGCCAACAGCCTTGCACTCTGCCGTCCAGACCTGCCTCATGCTAGGATAGCCCCGACAAGCTCCAGCATCTGATTCCCTGCTGTCCGAGCCCAGGAGCCGCCATTAGCCCCAGGCCCCAAATCACCATCATACCTCCGCAACGAGGTATATAGCCGCATGCTCCATCCACAGTGTCTCTGCATCCAAGACTACCCTTTCCACACCTGCCTTCCCTTCTTCGGAAAATATCCCGAAGACATCTCACCTCGCACAATCACATCTCAGATCCGACCGACCTCCTCCCCGGAGCAGTCGATAAGCATAGGAAAGACAAACGCAATCTTCCAGTCGGTGCACCAAGCCGACTCGCGCCGTCCCGTGTCCCTACACACAGCTCGGGACAGCCAGCAGCATCGGTCCCTGTGGACAGACGCCACGAGATAGGAAACAGTCTCCCCGCCAAAGAGACACCAAACGACACAACCTTTTCCCGGACTGGTTCGACCATCGACCATCCGAGTGACCACACGGATCCAGTCAACCCCCACCCATATCACCCTTCACCTAGAAGCCACGAGGACGAAGGAACGCCAGAGGTAGAAAAGCCACCAGGAGTACAGCAGCCATCGACGAAAAGGCGATTTACGAGAAACGACACTATAGGGTGGCGATCTACAGGGGGCTTTCAGGACGAGAAGAAAGGAACGGGGGGCATCCGAGCAGCAAGATATTGGAGCTCAAGTCCGAGAGAAAGCAGTAAGCTCCCCTACCTCTCTGCCCTGGGCCAATGAGGCCACTGGGCTCTCCCCCAACCCTTCTGCGCGTCGGGTCTTGCCTTGCACCCCCCTCGTCATTTCCAAGGAACTCTCCTGCATGTCACCTCTCACAGCGGTCATGCCCGTCGCGTTGATGCCATGCCGGACCACAAATGACTGCTCGTCCCGGCCCCCTGGCTGGACCGCCACGCTCGTGTTCGATCTGGGCGCTTCTGGCCGGCCACGGGGGTTGCGCCAGCTCCTGCGAGTCCATGTTCGGAGTTTTCGATCCTCCCATTGCACCTCCTGCAGACGCCGCAGATCGCAGCCATACGGGACCTAGCAACCAGCCGGAATAACCCCTTGTCGCAGCCGTGGGACTCACGCTAACTTGTTTCGGACAGAAGCCGCTTTCGCCACGATCGTCGAGAAACCCATCGTCTGCTTTGCAGACCCGCCTCTTACACGCCGCAAGGGCAGGTCAGTTGCGACCCCGGCTCGTTTCTTTCCATCCTACAGGACGACGGCGCTGTCCGACATCCGATACGGCGAATCTGGAGGAAGTTTACCTCCGGCGCCAGCCAAGCCCTGGGATCGGAAGATTACAATAGTACCGGGCCTCGAGTGCGTGCCAGCAACCAAGGCCGGATACCCCCATCCGACCTTGACACCAGCAGAACCACAAAAGTCCAGTGCTCCACAAGCACCACACTCTCTTGTCCTTATTTTTGCCTTTTGCCCCTGCTTTTTTATGATGCCATCGGCCCTTGCCGAAGAAAGCTAATAATAGGGTGGGACTGTGTAGATTGGCAACCGGTTTAACCATTAGGAATGACAGCGACGGATTGGATGAAGGTTGGTTCGCCCAGGGCCCTTGTTTTCGCGGTGCCCCTCTGTCAAACAGCTTCTCTCGGGCACACCCCTGGAGGCTGGCGCACGCGGTTGGGCCAACCTCGAGCACTGTGGGGCTGTGAGCCCGGGTGCTTCAGCAGCGAACCATGCCCCCACCTCGCTCGGTCCCGGGCTACCCTAGCGTCTCCTCCCGAAGATCAGTGGGCCAGCCCTGCTAACGGCGTCGGCGGGATAGCCCCAGCAGCAAAACAACATCGAGACCCTCCTGTGCAACGAGGCCAGCAGGGGCGGCGACCCTCACATGAATCCTCTTCCAAAGGTACCCAACAGCTTAAGCTTACCATGGCCATGGAAATGCCATCAGCCATCACATTGCAGTCTTACGTCCCCCTCCCCATCTTGACTTCCAGTCTTCCCCCCGTCTTTCTGATCTTACTTTCCCCACTCTGTCAGCCTATTTCTTTTTGCTTTTGCTCTTGATTTTATTCCCAGCCCATTGCTTCCGTTCCCATCCCTCAGCTGGCGATGCAACCAACTCCCTCCAACACAAGAGAGAGAAAATAGACCAAGGCAAGGAGAAAAAGAAGAGACAAAAAACCACCCAGAAGTACGGAGCCAGACATCGCTCTGCTTCTGCTTCTGCCTCTACCTCTGCCACCCATCCTGCCACCCTCCTCCTCTCGGCTGCAACCACAAGGCTCAGAAGCGAACAAGGATCCGCCGGTCCTTTAGGAGTCACCGCGCCGAGGAAAATGATGACATGCAATTAATTTAATCGTTGTCCGCGGCTCTCCACCGATGGAATGAGGCGACAAGAAGACGAGAGCGAAAGGGCCACTGGGATTGAGAGGATGGGCGACAAGTCAACAGCCAATAAAGACTGCGCTTGTCGTCGGCTTGGATAACAAAGGTGAGCAGCAAGCCTTCTCAATCGCTCAAGTCCTGTTCCCGGTCCCAAGGCCTCTGCCGGAGCCTGACTGGTCCACGCACACATGGCCTCTACCCGCCGCCACCCTCTGCACCCCTCCCTCCCTCCTTCGCACCCACGCCCATGCTTGTTTGGTTGTATTTTGTTTTCGGCCCTTGGGCGCCATCCTTTCTCGGACCGGTCTGCATACTCGGTGAAGGCCAGATGCGCCCCCTCCTTGTCGAGGGTGGTAGACCATGTCTGCCCGCCCGGGTCCGCATCCATTGCTTGCCATCGGCCCCGTCCGTCCCAGCCGCGCCGCTCACGTCGGACCCGAGCCTCACCTTCCCTCCATGTGCCCCAGTGCCCCAAGGTGGCTCTGCAGTCCGTGTCTCGAAAGTACATGCTTTCTGGGCCAGGGTGTTTTTGCCTCGTGGGTGCAGGCCAGGATGGGAAGGAGGAGCTCTGGTTCTTGGGTCACCATTGGTGCTGCGCGACCATTTCTTCCCGATGGCTGCGTTGTCGCGGCTGGGGGGGAGGGGCGTGCTCGGATCAAAAGTGGCCGCTCGAGCTCCCGATTTGACAGGCAGCATGGCCCGTTCCCATTTGCAGCACACACTCGCAGTGCGGTGTGGCTGTTTGCCGCTGCTTGCCAATGCTGGAGCTGCACGCTCTGGGACGACCGCAGGGTGGTGTGGGTTCAGGGCAAGGGAGGACGGCCTGGCGGGTGGCACGAAAACGATGCACCTCCCACCAGCACCAGTAACCGACCACAAATGTACCTGCTTGGTCTCTGGCCGTACTGTACCTGTTGCCAGTGCAGCTGTCAGGGCCCCTCCGCCTGCCCGGCATCTCGTCTTTCAGAGCACGAACAGCATGGCTTTCTCTGACTGCAGGCTGGCTTGCAGGCCCTATCCCCCATCTTACTTCACCTACATGCCCATATCCCCCCCCCTGCATAATGTCATCCTGGACACGAATGCGAGTGGAGGCGTTCAAGGGAACAGCCGAAAACCTCCTCCCGAGACTCTTTACCAGCCCTACCGAGAGTAAAATAGCAGGCCCGCCCCATCACTGCCATTCCCGCCCCCGTCCCCGTCATCCCCGTCATTGTGTTTGCGCTCCTGCTACCCGGAGACGCACCAAGCACGCCGGCTACGGCGCACTTCAAGAACTGCGGCTCCGGGATCGATATGCTGACAAGGATTTCGCTGTGTAGGTCGCTCATTCCGCCACAGCTGCTCGCCTCTCGGCCCAATTCTCTCTCAAGTTACACAGGCACCAGGACGAAAAAAAAAGGATACATGCGGACCTGTTACTCCGCCTCTAGAGTCCCCCTGGCCGGTGGTTGGATCAAATTGCAGCTTTTGTTTTCTCCTTCGTACTTTGCTTTTTCCCCTCTCCCTAGCTCTGGTTTCTTTCCCTCTCCCTTATTTTTGTCAACTTTTGAGAATCACTCCGTCATCATTCACATTGCACAAACGTGCTGTAACAATAGCACGGGCAATCAGCACAATTTTCCCTTCTAACATTATACCGTCGCCGTCAGGAATTCGAACCGTCGTCCCCGGAATTCGAGTACAGCGAGTTCCCGGGTGGCCCTGATATGAGGTATGTGATACGGCTCCAGCGCCTTTTCATTGGTTTCCTCCACCAGCCCCGATATGCGCCTTGCACAGTTTATATGGTAGAGGATGCACTGCACTATTGGCCTCTGCACTATTGGGCCGGCCGGGCTGTGCGTCCCTGATACCTGGGCAGCCCGGCTGGCTGCGGTGCACATCTTTCCAGGCCGTCTTAAACCACCCGATATCCTGCTCCTGGGCGAGTGTCCCGGGACCCAGGTCCCTCTCCTTTCCTCCCTTGCGTTCTTGCGTCAGCCAGGAACCTCCACTCTGCAGCCTGCGACTGCCGGAGGAAGGCTTCCTGCCCCCCCTGGCAACTGTTCATCGCTGCAAAATCAATCCGCTAGCCATTTTCTTTTTTCCACCCTGCTTGTTCTTTTTCAAGGCTCGCCTGCTCCTCTGCCATTCTTCCTCGTCGTTTTCTTCGTCCTCCTTCTGTTCTGTCCTCATCGTCTATTGCTCCTCCTCCCCCTTGTCCACCTGCGAGCGGCACGAAAACGACGGAGATCATGGCGTGCTTCCACGGTGCTTGAAGGTATTACACGACCAACGTTGGGCTCTGCAGCAATCACCCGCAGACGTGGTGGCTCGGTAGCAGGTGTGCACCCGCTCACTGGTTTCTGTGCGACACAGCGTTGTTGGCAGTGCCACAGCTGGTAGCACAGTACGCCCGCCGAGATGTGGTGCAGAGGTAGCGCAACACAACACAGCACAAGCCCAGCTGCGTCAATGCCGGCCGTGGCGGGCTCTGACATTTATTTCCGACCTGACACCAGTTTACTGGGCTCTCGTTTTGCTAATCATCCGTGATGCCTGCTTCAGATACGGCCAGGACGCCAACACAGCCCCGGCCTTGAATCTCGGAAGCGCGGTGCAGCCCGTCCAGCCCGCCCCGGCCCTACCACTGTACTCCCAGGGCCAACCTCCTTCCATCTACAACCCCTCGGTGGCGTATCAACAAGACTCGGCTGCTTCGTCGCTGTTTTCATCCCCTGCCACCCTCCTCGCTCATCCGCAGCATCCTCAACTGAGGCGCCACGGCTCTTCAAGGTATGTGATCCAGGACCCCGCGACTTCCTCTTCTCCCGTGCCTATCTCCCGTCGTCTTGGTGCTTTCCGTGCCCCGGTCGTGAATTTTGAAGTTCCCTCCTTTTTGGGGGGTTTCTTGGTGGATATGGCGATGCTACGCTTGTGCTTTGTGCAATCCCGGCGCCGCCGCTTGGACAAGCCACTGCTGGCAAGCTGAGGCTTACTCAGGTTGCAGCACCAGCTCATCGATTGGCATGTATAGCCACCGAAGCGCCTTGCCTGTACCGGAACAACGAAATATTTACCGGCACAACCTGAGGAGGTCGCAGGATCAGAGATCAGGCTCGACCTACGGTGGCTACCCACGACCGTCCCATATAACGTCGCCCACGTCGAGCCCCCACGGCTTTGCCGCGTCTAGTCACAGAATGGATCAGTACGGCAGCAAATCGGGGCAGCAAACCCTCCCGCCACTCCTCGCCCTCATGCCGCAGGGAACCCTGTACTATGTGGACGGGACGGCGCCCCATGGAACCAAGATCACGTTCGACATCCATGGCGTCATCGACAAGGGCTTCTTTCTTGCTGACCATGAGTGGACGTGCTACCGGAGAAACTATTTCTCCTGCGTCTGCTCATTCTCTCTGAGCCCTCCGACTCACTCATGGCCAACCACGCCCGCGATCCAGTTCGTCCAAGAAAGCAACCAGGCGGCCTTTACCGTCTCTGGCTTTGCCATGTCCATCTCGGCAGTGGTGTCGGATAACGACACACAAACCATTGATCTAGTTCAACACACACCCAAGAGAGACAAGGGCCCCATTTCGGCACCAGAAAAGGTGCGCCTCTCACCCAAGTCGGCCGGCCACCCGCACCTCAGCGTGTTCCCTCAGCCCGACGGGACTCTGAGGGGCACGGCCTACGAGTTCAGCCAGGGCCAAACGTCGACGCCGACGGAACACACGTTTGAGCGGATCCAGTTCAAGCAGGCGACGGCCAACAATGGCAAGCGCCGAGCGGCCCAGCAATACTACCACCTCGTCGTCGAGCTCTGGGCCGACGTTTCGGGAAGCCAGAGCTCGGGGGCGCCGCAGTGGGTCAAGGTCGGATACAAAAAGTCGGCCAAGATGATTGTGCGCGGCCGCTCGCCAGGCCACTACCAGTCGGAGAGGAGGGGAAGCGCCAGCAGCGGCCCCGGGGGCGCGTCGGGGAACCTCGGGTACGGGAGTCTCGGCCCAGAGTTCACCTCTGCTGGGTCAGGAATAATGGGCTCTACATTTGGGCACTCGACGACATACGACCCGCGCGGCAGCGCATACGGATCAAGCACTCGTCACTCGCAGGAGGTTGGCGTGGACACCATCATGACGGATGATCACAAGCCGATGCACGACTCGAAGGAGTACCACTACTACCCGAACACCATCTACGAGAATGGGCACAACGTGGAGATGTTCCAGCACTCATCCCGCGATCATCAAGTCAGCAGCATCAGCCATACGCTCCCCAACCCGACGGACCACCACTCGAAGGTGAAGCCTGAGTACGACAGCAGTCGGACCCTGTACCATCCGGGCCCGCAATGGAGCCGAGCCGGCCCGTGTGGCCGATACGAAAGCAAGAACACCTCAAATGGCTTCTACCCAACGGTTCCCTCGTCAGGTCTCAACATGACTTGACGGGTCACAGCAGTTGAAAGGCGCCTGGCCCGTTTACAGCTGATGAAGCGATGATGACCCGAGACGCAAGGGTGTTTTGTCTTTGGTTAAGATGGAACCCATTTTTGTTCCGGTAGATTTTCAGCTTTCTTTCTCACCACATCACTTCTTTTTTTTTCAGCTTTCTTTTTTGTCATGCCCAGGTCGCTGCCGCCTCCCCAAATTTTCTTCTGTCAAGTTCAGGAATAAATGTTTACGGGATCTAACTGGTGTCAAATGTTGAAGGGGCTGCCAAAAGTTTGGGTGGCGAAAAGGGAAAACGGGCAAATTTTGGCAAACAGACGGGGAATGGAAAGGAAACATGATTTTCAGGATAATGTGGCATTTGCAAGGGATACCCGGGTGCATATGATTTACCGCCTTGTTTTTTTTTTTTCTCCTTTTTGATTTCTTTTCTCTCTTTCTATCCACATCACCTTTGTTTTTCTTCCTTTTCCAACAACACCACCACGATTGGCTAGAGTGGATGTGTAGGTGCTCGTCCCTCAGGATTTGGACGCGATCTGCCCTATTCGGTTCCGCTGCTTCGCTTTTCCCCCTTTGCAGGATCTCCTTCACATGTCCCGGTTTCATTTGTCTTTTCTTCTTGTCCAACCCCGTCAGTCCTCTCACAGGCTTGGGAAGTGCTGGGAAGCAGGAGCAGAGATTGGTCTGGGGATGTGTCTATCGGTGGGTTTCATTAGGGCGGCGCGTCAAGACTCGACTTGGTCGAGACAGCTGGGCGCGCCAGAGGATGATGTCGACAGGAGTCATGGATCAAGACGACTTGCATATGTAGCTCATTTATGGCATCAGACCATTGGTTACTTTTTCCCCATCTTGGGCTTCCACATGTTCTCCATACCTAGGTTCGCGTACTTATCACGCTCACCGGTTTGACAGCAGGTTTTTCCGTAAGAGTCAGCAATGCGCTGGGTTGCAGATTGCAGGTTGCGGTCTCCCTCCCTTCCATTCTGCCCATGGATATTTCCCTCGCTGCTACGTGCATCTTTCTTTTCTTTTTCCCCTCTCTCCTCTCTTTGCCGGCCGGAGGACAGCGGTGCATCAAGGTGCTGATATGACCTTTATGTCGCAGCTCCAAGAGCCACCTATACGTGTTAGTCGTGCCGAGGTCTTGTCTAAAGCAAGGGATCGGCAGTGCTTCCTTTTCTTTGCCTTTTTTTTTCTCCGTCCTTGTTTTCTCCTATGATTCGGCGGCGGTAGCTCAGCGGTCGCCCCGCCCCCCGGGGCGGCGGGCACACACGGCTGACCACCACCGCCTGGATGGGGCGGGCCAAACCAACCAACCAACAGCGCGAGCGGAACGACGGCCGACCCGGCACACACACACACACACACACACACATAGACGCAGACTCAGCAGGCCCAGGTCTGGCCAGGCCTGGCATCCCTGGGTGTTTCTGTTATGCCCCCCGCCCCTTCCGTCGATAAAAAAAAAAAAAAAAAAAAGGTTATGTCGTCTCCTATGTTCCCTCGATGGTTGCAAGAGTGAGATGAGGATCGTACGTAGTCAGCGATCATCATTTTTTCTTTCCCCTTCCTCATGTCGCTCCATTTTCCCAGACACCACCCTTACGTCGACGACTTGGGCGCCAACACAACCATGCCAACGAGGCGAGTTGTTCGTTTTTATTTTATTTTTAGCCAGGGCATCCATACTAGCTAGCCAGCCTCTCCACTGCCGGCCGGCCGGAAAGGCGCTTGCTGAATGGCGAAGCGCTGCAAATTGCCCTAGTTTCCGACGAAGCGGCGACAAACCTAGACCCTAGCTCGACCGGGGGGGTAAGAGAGGGAGGAGGAGGAGGAGACCCACGGACCGGATAGATGCTCCGGATTGCAAGGGGGGGTCCATAAAAGAAGGAAGAAACCTGGCGAGCAAAGGGAGTGAAAGAAGAAAAAGCAAATCCACCTAGATACCAAGAAATCCCGACCCGCTCTTCTAGCGTAGCTCGCATGCTGGTGCTTCCCAATAGGGCAACCGGTGATGCGCGTCCGGTAAGAGCGGGGTTTTTTCTATTCCTCGGAAAGGGAGAGGGAAAAAAACCAAGGGGGATGGAAAAAGAAGCAAATACGAAGTCAGTCACGTTCGGAATGAGCCGTAGGAGGTATTTTTCCTTTTGTTTTTTTCTTTTTCTTTTTGAACCCGCTTGCCTGCCTGGCGATCGGACGTCTGCTCACCCTACTAGTCCCGGCTGGGCCTGCCATTCCTGGAAGAAGGCGAAAAAGAAAAATAGAGCCGAGGAGCGTGCTTCTCGGGTTTTTTGCTCGGGTCTGCAAATGGTCTGAGCGACGCACCATTTTTTTTTCGTCACGTTCCCCTCCTCCCTTTTTTTTCACGCAGGCATGAGGGAGAAAAAGAACGAGACGGTGGTGCGTCTCACAGACTTATGGCTAGCAACCGCGCAATGCAGTTCCCAAACGCCGCACGCTGTCTTATGAGATATTTTGAGAAAGGAAAATCTCCCTCATCCCTAACGTTAAACAAAATAAAACGAAGATGCGAGCAAGACGTGCAGTGCACCTGGGGGGTGTGGTGGGTATGTACCTAGGTAGGTGCTGGGGAATGGCAGTTAGGCTGGTTGAATGATGTCAGACGGGCGGCACCCGCTGCGGCGGCAGCGCATGTGCCGTTGGCCAGGCAGAAGCGTTGCGTGGGTATGCAAGTGCACTAGATGGGTAACCACCCCTGCCACCCCCCTCCTCAAGTCACAGCACGCGGTCCAGGCGGTGCAGATTATCAGCCGGGGCCTGCAGGTGTGATTTGATGTTGCTCTCAGTTTGTCGGAAAGGTTGACAAGAAAAGAAGGGATGGGTGCGAGAGCAGCTGGACGACAGGGGTCCACAACAAAAAGTGACAGGAGTGCCCGATCTGAAGAACTTGGAGGGTACACAACAGATCGGGGGATGCGCAGAGGCGCTGATTTTGCCAAGCGGGGGGGAAAAAAAAGCCACGCAACCTTGGCCACCTGATATCTGGTCGCAACTTTTTCGGTACGCGAGAAGAGGGGAGGGGAGGGCAAACAACAAGGACGAAATCCCAAGAAAGCCAAACAAACGTCAAGAGAGTGATAGTTGGACAAATGTGATAGGAACGCAACTTTGGCGGGCTGCAAAAGGGTGGTTGTTCAATTAAGGTTTGGCACTAAGCCAAAGCAACGAAGCAGGTCCAAAGAAAAACCACTCAGCGAAAATGGCGACCCTCGGTATATCTCGCCAAACACCAGGCGTAGGAGGACGATTGTGTTTGCCAAGAGACATGGAGCGTTGAAATGCTGCCGGTTCATAGTAATAGTAAAAATAAAATAAAAAAAAGACAAAAGAAAACGCAAGAAACAGTACGCACCCCAAGCAGCGACCGGACCGACGATCTCCTTGCTACGCTGCCAGGTACCTCTGCAATGTGCAATCACAAAACACACACGGCACAGTCATCATCCCACAGATCATGACCCCCCGCCCGCCTCTGCCTGCCTGCCCGCCTCTGCCTCTCTGCCTGCCTGCCCGCCCGCCTGCCTGCCTGCCTGCCTGCCGGCTGACACCCGCTCTTCTTCGTCACTTAGAGACTAATGAAGGGGGAGGGGGGGAAGAGCGGCAAAGCCCGATAGTGTCAGCACGCAGCGCCCTCCTTTCACTTTCCTTTCTTGGGAGGCGAGGCGGGCGCGTCAGGCCGAGGTCGGGGCCGAGGATGGACGGGTCGCCCGCCTCGCTGACCGGGGGGGCGGGGCGGCGTTGCTGTAGCAAGTTCCTCTCCCCCAACACCCGCAGCTATGATCACATCATATCGCAACTCGTTTCTCGCCACGGCATCAAGGGGTCAAAGTTTTTGTATTCCATGCTGCGGGTCTCACCCTGCTGGCGCCACCCCCCACTGCCATCTTTGAACGGATAAGAAGCACATGGCAAAGCCTGATTGGCGTAGATCCACCAATATGAATAGATTCAGAGAGCGTGTAGTGGATAAGGCAAACTGAGCCGGCTGCCCAACGTCCACTCATCTTGGCGGAAGGGACAAGAACAGGCAGGCCCCTGGCTCGGATGGATCGCTCCGGGCCTCAGCCCTACAGGCCGACCCCACGGCGGTGCAGTGGCGTGACCAGGTGAGACTGCCTTGGTTGCACTGCGTCAAGGCACCCCCTCCCCCCGAGGCGCAGATTGGACGCGATGAGGAAGGGGCGCGCGGGGGACAAAAGGGGATGAAGGTTTGTAGGCCGGCGGCTCGCCGAGAGCTGCTCATAAGCGGGTTCTTGGCTGTTCATCATGTTGCCACATGGAGCTTGTGCAACCCCGTCCCAGTCTCGAGCCGTCGGGGCCCGGGACTTGCAGGGTGTAATGCCACCCTCCTTCCCGGCTTTGGCGATGAAGTGGCAGAGTCTGAGCCCGGGCAGCTCTCTCTCTCTCTC